GATCCACCCACCTTGGCCTCCGAAAGTGTTGGGATTACAGGCATGAGCCATCGCGCCTGGCCACTTCCTTCCTCTTTAACAAGAGAATGTTGCACCTAGCATCACTGCTTTGGCTAGCTCTTTTTTCCTGTGTGCCCTCATGTGTGCAGCAATTGAACTGGCTAACAATTTCTGCATTCTTCCTGGTCTAGCCAAAATAATCTGGAAACTCACCATCTAGCCCAATCAAAGACATTATTATTGTATGATTCACTAACATAGTCTTCATCTTCATCCTTGGGGCTAGAGCTATAATATACTCTGTATGCTCTGGCCACATGATTGATCTCTTCTTTTGTGCCAGTCAAGCCAACCAGTTTGGGAGAAAATTCTTTCACATAATTTGCAGTGGCCTTTTTTGTGTCCCTCTCTGGGTCAATGGTGATGAAAAGTTAAATTTGGCAGAGTTGAAATACTATCGCATCCACAACTTGAATCATTTTTTCTAGTTCTTCTGCAAAGATATCAGTAATGACTGAAACAAGAATAAATCAACAGCCACTGACCCAGGCAGTGTTTGTCAGTTTTAGGCTCTCCAAATGTGTTGTGAGGGAAAATGGTCCCCCAGTAAAGGCTTGTTGATGCTTCACTGCTGTTTCTTCTCTAGCTTCTGTCTTTTCTATTTTGAATACTTCACTCCAGCCAGTAAACCTCCTCCCATAGCAAATGTGAATGCTAAAGACTTCCAAGAAATAGGCCTGGGCTTCAAGGGGCATGTGCAGTCTCTACAGTCCTTCTGCTCAGGCCCTGACTACCTCAAGGGTGGTTGGTGGTATCACTGCCTGAGGGGCCGGCTTCCCAGGCAGCTACCAGCGAGCCTCCAGTCATGCCACACTTCCTCTTGCATGCAGAATTGCCTTGGCAACACTCTCACTGTCTACTTGGCTGGGCCCCAAATCTCATGTCAGCCAGGCAAGAGGCGCCAAAGTTGCCCCATACTGGTTACTTTGAAGTGTCTCTGAGAATTCAATGCACAATGAAAGTTGGTTTCAGATACATTCAACCATCCTTTCATCAAACATTTACTGAGCACCTACTTTGTCCCAGGCTTTGTGCTCAACTCTCCAGGGAAGACAGAAATGGAGAGAGACAGTCTCTTATCATCAAGGGTTGGGAGACAGATATGAACAACCTCAGTTGCAATTAAAGATGATTATTTCAACAACATTGTTATGTCCAAAGTCACTGTTGACAAATGGTTCTACCTTATGGTGAGCTCAAGAGAGTGAAGGAAGGGTCTATGAAGAGACTTCTTGGGGAGAAATTTGTATGTGCTGAGTCCCCACTCTCCTCCTATCCAGAGGGAAAGGAAGTACTGATGTTGCCTGAAGAGGGGCTTCTGTGGGATCAGAGAGCTTGAAGATTGTTCCCCATAATTGTAAAACAAAAACTGCACCAATACTTACTTATAAATTAAAGAGGGCTGCAGCCACAAAGTACATGTGGCTGCATTGGGATCTGTCTGGACACCCAGATTCAGCAGGGATGACAAATGTATAAATGTTTACCTGGACCAGATGTGGGCCACATGAAGACAGCCAACTTGGGGTTACCTTTTGTCCATCCAAATGGGCTGTCTAGAGGTATGGGGGGACCCAGTGGCCAGAAGCCAGAAATGAACACAGGGGTGCTACAATCCACAGTTTGTCACAGTCAACCACTTGCACTGGTTTTGGCCAAAGGAACTCAAGTAAGATATCTCTGGTGATGGGAATCTGCAAAGAACCTTTAAAAGCACGCTTTAAGAAAAAGAGTCAGCTTTAACCATGTGCAAGACCCAGGTAGTACAGACCTACCCTACCAAGAAAGAAAAGCCTGCCCTATCTCCTTAGCTGTTTTTGTTTTTGTTTTTTGTTTTTTGAGATGAAGTCTGACTCTGTCACCAGGCTAGAGTACAGTGGTGTGATCTCGGCTCACTGCAACCTCCACTTCCCAGGTTCGAGTGATTCCTCTGCCTAAGCCTCCCAAGTAGCTGGGATTACAGGCAGGCACCACCATGCATGCCTAATTTTTGTAGTTTTAGTAGAGAAGAGGTTTCACCATCTTGGCCAGGATGACCTCGATCTCTTGACCTCATGATCCTC